TGCCAAATTAAGTGGAAATAGTGACATAATAATAGCAGATCTCGCGCCCTTCCCCATCAAAACGCATATGAATAAGATTTCGGGACATTTCAAAAGTTACTGGCAGTGCTAAGGTCCCGGACCGCCCGGATAAGAGACATACGAGTGTACATGTGTATTCATTAATATGCGTCATAACTCACTCGCCATTCATTCTATCGCTTCGGCAATTGTTCGAGACTACAGCAGAGAGTTTTCTTTTCTTCCTACGTATTTCATTCTCTCCAAACAACTGAGAATTGACCAAGTTACGATAGTTTGAAGTTATTTGAAAAGTGTAGAATTTATCGATCACCGGTGATCTATAAAAGTATGTGCCGTCCGTAAAGGGTTAAGGAGTTAAATAAGTTAGCAGCGGCTTTCTGCCTGCTTTAGGTCGAAACAGCACTGTATGGAGAACAATATAATTTGTCGGTATACTACAACTTGGGGTCATGTTGCTGGTGTGATTGTCGGCCAGAGAGCACACCAGGTGGAGGCGGAATTGCTGTATTTTAGAGAGTTTTGTGGTATACTCTATGCTACTTTGTTTTAACGAACGCTGCTCCCATTCATGAATGTGTCTACTCTAAAAGCAGAAATTTCGGTGATGTAATATTTTCGGTATTCTCCAAAATCGGCGGTTTGGTGGAGGGAACTTTTTGGTAAACCCGTTTTCCAGGCAAGGGTACCAGTACTATATATACCGAAATTTTCGGTTCGTTATATTTCCGATAAAAATTTCGGCACCAAAGTTACCGAAAATATAAAAACCGCCGAAAAATTCTGCTTTTACAGTGTGTGCTGTACTCCTTTTGGAGTTGGTTGTTCCAACGTGAAACACCCGATCCCTGCCAGACTTGACACTGGACTGACTCACGACTGCCATCCAGAGCGCACGAGGATAGTTGCTTTCTTGCAGGTTTGCTGAGTGAAAGGTCTTACGTGCTTCTCGTGCACTCTGGATGGCAGCCGTGAGTCAGTCAAGTGCCAAGTTCGGCAGTGTTGTGCACGCGCACATGTTGTCCAGGTGCACATGTTGTCCAGGTGTCAGGGGCCCAGCCTCCCTGCCCATCCGACCCGCCACACACAACAACGAAACTGAACTGAGAGTTCTACATAATTTCTTGACAAGACGGAGACGGACACACAAGAAGACCGGACACGACGAGGTAAACTGATAACTGAAGAAAAAGACTAACATTTATGGCAGCATGCGCGAGCATGCGCGCAACAAAACACAACGTATGACAATGACGTAACCGTTACTTGGATCATGTACAAACTATACATGCAACCAAAACAAGTCAAAGCAGAACGCAAAACAAACCAAAATAAACGAAAGGACCACAACAAAAAGAGCCATGAAAAGTCTTTCTACCGATACACAACATATTCCCCACCAAAGACCTTTTCAGGGTTCTACGAGGACTGCGAACACTGTGCCCTACGAGTATACGCCGCAAGCGTACTAATCAAGCTAACTACAAGAGGCAACAAATAAACAAATGAACGATCGACACGCCAACAAAACTCCAACGAAAGGCAACGTCCGACCAGGGACAAACAAATCAAACTCAAACAAATCGAGCAAACCGAACTACCAAACTCGAACTAACAAACAACTCGAGCAAAACAAACTAATCAACAACTCGAGCAAACCGAACTACCAAACTCGAACTAACAAACAAATCGAGCAAACCAAACCACTCAAAACAAATCGAATCAAACTAGTCAACAAATCACAGCAGGAGCACCTTCTAAACTCCGCGTCACACTCACATGGGGTTATTTGCTCACGATGCGTTTTCCTTCGCACCGTCCTTGTCGTAGGAACCAGCCACTCATCGCAGACGTTTATCCGACTTCGTCTACCCTCAGCGCATTCAGCTCCAACGACTTCCGTCGCACCAACCTCCGAGTCGTCGTCTTCACCAGCCACCTCGCGGGACGTCCCTGCCCTCAGCGCATTCAACTCCGACGGACCAGCCACTCCTCGCAGATGTTCATCCATTTCATCTGCCCTCAGCGCATTCAGCTCCGACGAGCCAGCCACTCCTCGCAGACGTTTCCTCGCTCAGCGCCTTCAGCTCAGACGACGTCGTTTCGGTGATTTGTTCACGATGCGTTTTCCTTCGCACCGGAGTTCCTTCCAGTTCCTCGTCTCCCTGACAATCCTGGCGTGATCGCCAAATTTGTGCACGCGCACATGTTGTCCAGGTGTCAGGGGCCCAGCCTCCCTGCCCATCCGACCCGCCACACACAACAACGAAACTGAACTGAGAGTTCTACATAATTTCTTGACAAGACGGAGACGGACACACAAGAAGACCGGACACGACGAGGTAAACTGATAACTGAAGAAAAAGACTAACATTTATGGCAGCATGCGCGAGCATGCGCGCAACAAAACACAACGTATGACAATGACGTAACCGTTACTTGGATCATGTACAAACTATACATGCAACCAAAACAAGTCAAAGCAGAACGCAAAACAAACCAAAATAAACGAAAGGACCACAACAAAAAGAGCCATGAAAAGTCTTTCTACCGATACACAACAGGCAGGGATCGGGTGTTTCCCGTACATGTAGGTGTAACCGACTTCATTTACTGATACCCTAGAAAGTCGCTACTCCTAAGTCGGTAGCCTTAGTACATGTTCTGTTGTATAGCTGAACTACCAACAATTGCACAGCTCTCACACAGCTACGCTAGAAGCTGGAGTCATAAAACGAGAGTCAATCATCTGCGGTGTGTGTCGTATGTTGTGTGTTTGTGTGCGTGTGCGGTGTGAAAGTGTATGTGTGTGTGTGTGTGTGTATAATGTGTGTGTGTGTGTATGTGTGTGTGTATGTGTGTGTGTATGCGTGCGTGTGTGTGTGTGTGGGCATGCGTGTGTGTGTGTATGTGCGTGTGTGTGTGTGTGGTTTTCTGTGTGTTTCTGTACGTTTCTGTGCGTATGTGATGTGCGTATGGTCTGTATCGCTGGGTGTGCAGGGATGCCGGTGATAAGTGCCAGTACCAATTCCCATTTGAAAAGCAGGGCAGTGGAGGAAGGGGAGGGGGCTCAGTTCGTGTGCGTATTCCCACAGAAGATCAACGGTGGTGTAACGTGGACACAGCCTTACAACCGCACACATGGCGACATCACCACTGAACAGGTATGAGCGAGAGCTATCCATCAACTGCCATTACATTGCTATTAGCCTTTTCACTGCTGCGGGATACTGCCGCCAGGGCACTAAACACCAGCAAAACAGGTCTGTTGTGTCTTTACACATGAAAGTCCATCACTCGGGTTTTTTATTCTTCAAATTTCATGATGTTTTCGCTTGCTGGAAAGCTCATGCCGCAGAAGGAAACTGATGAGCTGAAGTACCAGTCTTCACAGTATTGGACACCAGCTTTACTTTTAAGGCCTAACTTGTCCCAAAGTCGTGGCGCAGTTGTGTTGCACGCAAGAAAGTTTCCTTTCAGCCGCCATTCGGCTGTCCTTGCTCGTACCTAACTCAAATTTGTGGAACACTCCCTCGAGGCCATTGCTCGATTTGAACTGAAGTTGTCATGGCACCAAAGCGCGGAAAAGAGAATGAAAATCAAGTGCCCAGGCACTGCTCAACCCTGTTTTTTGAGCACGTGTGAATATGCATGCTTTTTCTCTATGCTAAATCTATGCTAAATTTGCAGCAGTACGAACTGGCTTGTGTGCACTTACGTGTTGGTTGTCGCGTATGTTGCTATAGGTGACCGATGACGAGACCAGGACGACACTGACTATCCCAGTTGTCACCACAAATATGACTGGCTTGTACTCATGTTCGGCTTACAAGGCGAGCGGGGACCTGTCTTATCTCACCTTTAACCTCACCGTTAGCCAAAAGAACAGTGAGTAATTTCCATTTCGAATTGTTGTGGATTGTGCCATTTACAAAGACCCGACACAAATTAATGAGTGTATTCGCTTCCGTGTACATGTATGCACGCTCTCGCGTGTGCGTGTGTGTGCGTGCGTGTGTGTGTGTGAGCGCGAGTGAGTGAGTGCGCTCTTATTTGACGTGTGTGTATTCTAAATCATGACCATATCACCCGGCCGCATTTTTCTCACCCCAAATCCACTCCCGCCAGGGCTGGAAACACGATAGAAGTCTGTGTAGAATCTGTGTACCGTAAAGTCCGAAGCGAACGCCTACCCCATTTTTGCAAGATCTGCTGGCCTGTACACACTGACCCCATGCACTGTCACCTCTACGGTACAAAAGTGCATATCACACCGTAGCGTGAAGAGCGCTTTGCTACGGTAAACCATGTCCACATTACTGGTTTCAAAATCCCTTTGGGCACTAGCAAGAGTACATTATGTACTCTTGGCACCAGCCACGGGCTAGCTCTTAGTGATTTTATGATGATGGTTGTTTTATTTCGGATATCCAAACGGGAGTTTCTTCCGAATAACAAGGTACCGAAGAACAGAGTATTGCAGGAACCAAATACACGTCTGACGGTGTTTCAAGCCATTATTTCCAAATCACGCGAAGCGTTAAGGCAAGGGATTTTTCTCGAGCACTTTAGAGTTTTTTAACAAGTTAGCAGCGACTTTGTAGGTGTAGCTTCTGTGACATCTCTCCCCCCCCCCCCCCCCCCATTCGACTTGCAACTGCAATACCGCGACAGGTCAAGTCGTTGAATGACATCTCGTCAGAACAATCACCGTTCTGTTCTGAAAGCTCAACATTGTGGCACTGCAGAAATTGCACGATTTGAAAACCAGATGGATTCTATTGCATTACCACATGGAGAACTATCTAATGACAAAGACGACTCATTTATCGAATGAAAGGAAATCTCGACAGAAGTTTTTCTTTGCAGCATGATAATGACAATCGCTTTGGCAGAGCCTCCTGGTAAGACATAGGCAGTTTCTAGGCATGACAGTCAATCTCGCACGTATTCGACCTTCATGCCAGTTTTGCACAAGTATATTGACCTGAAAAGGACGAAAATAGTATGGACCCGCTGGGGTGGGCGTTTGCTGCGAAGTTTGCAGCGGACTTTACGGTACATCACTACATGTCTATTCTCGTGTCTTTCTCTAACACCTGCAATGCTACATGCCCACGCTGTTTCTTACTGAGGCTCTGTGTGTGTGTGTGTGTGTGTGTGTGTGTGTGTGTGTGTGTGTGTGTGTGTGTGTGTGTGTATGCACCTGTGTTTGTATATGTGTGTGTGTGTGTGTGTGTGTATGCACCTGTGTGTGTATGTGTGTGTGTGTGTGCACCTGCGTGTGTGTGCACCTGTGTGTGTGTGTGTGCACCTGTGTGTGTGTGTGTGTGTGCACCTGTGTGTGTGTGTGTGAGCGTGTGTGTGAGCGTGTGTGTGTGTGTGTGAGCGTGTGTGTGTGTGTGTGCACCTGCGTGTGTGTACGTGCATCTTTTTTCCTTTTTCTCCGCGGCGGTGTCGTGGTACAGGCGCGAATGCCTCCACGTCCTACACTCTCTTCATCATCGTCGGCGCGGCAGTGGGCGGCACAGGCCTCTTGCTGATCATAGTCATGACGATGGCTCGCTGCATGGGCAGCAGCAAGAAACCAAGCCACCGTGGCCCCAGTAACGATCTCCAGTGTCTGGAGAGTCAGCCGTCGGAAGGCTCTCGACAGGACGGCGACGGCAGCGGTAGTGGTGCTCATGAGGCGGCCGGTATTCGCCTAAGCCCAATGCCGCTGGAACACACCACCAGCCTGGTATCGCTGCAGCCCAAGTACAATAACGACTACTCACCGCTGAGTGACCGCAAGGAACCGTCCGTGCACCATCGTAAGCCGGGCGGTACTGGAAAAGCTGCACCGGACGTGGACGACGGCCCACAGCTGATAGAGGAGGGCTCCTACAGTCTGTACGCAGAGAGCCAGATGACCAACAATCTCGCGAATATTGATAAACTGGCGAACGGCAACAAAACCACCGACGCCGGCGCCCCGGACGACACCACCAGCGTAGCCTCTGGGTCGTACACGGGAGCATATGAGGAATTCCCGCCGGCTGGGGAACCGACGGGTGACAAGAAGATTGACGGCGTAGAAGATGTAGCAATGTACTGCGATTACTCCGAGATGAAGAATAGCGCGTCAAAGTCGACCTTGAAACAGCTCGGCGCCGATCAGGTTGTGGCGTTCAAGCAGGACACCGAGGGAGACGCAGGCGATACTGATAGTTGTGGCGGAATGTACAGTGAACTGCCGAGCGAGTTCGTGGCATCCATAGTGGGCACGTCAGCCTCCAGCGCCGCTATCACACCCAGTGCCAACCCACCTGCACTGCCACCGCAGAGGTCAATGGTACGCAAGAGCAGTCAGAACGACCTGTACGCCGACGTGCCCCAGGGATCGCCCGGGGGTCCCCTTGGCAACAACAGCAGTAGCGCTGTTGGTGGTCATCGGCACCTGAAAGCTACCAATAGCCTGGACTCCGTGCTGCAGGAGGCCGAGGATCTGTACGCGGACGTGTCGCAGCGTGACCGAGCGCCGTTGCCAGGGACAACGCCGACGGGCCGGTCGTCGAGTCTCAAGACCAAGTCGGACGGCTGGAAATCCGCAAAGGCCGCACTGCTGGGACACGCCCTGCCCACGTACGCCGTCACGGAGCGTCGTCATGACGACCACGACGACGGCGAAGGTGAAGGCGAATACAGTGACATAGGGGAGCGTGCGAGAGCTGCCTTGGTGGCCGGCCCAAGCAAGGTGTCGTCGCCGCTGCCAGCTACCCCCAGCATTGATCAGTGGGCTGCGGACGCCGAACAAGGCATGTACTCCGACGTGCCAGCCGAGCTGAAATCCGGCACCAACGCCACCGCGAAGAACATCCCGTCGTACGGTATGTCGGATGGCGGCGGCACTTACCAGGATATACACACCAGCAGGAAAAACCGCAAACCGTCCCCGTCTACCAATGCCGTGGGCTACACCAGCAGCTTGATGAACTTGATAGACGAAAGCAAGAGCACCGCATCGTGCTCGCAGCAATCCGTGCGCACCAGTAAGAGCCTGCTGTCGTGCGGTTCAAACAATATCCTGGACGACTATAGCACGGTCATAAGGCCTGGTAACGAGAAGAACAGCCCAACAGCCGGTCGAAGACAAGACGGAAACATTGGTGACGTTGATGGTGATGGAATGTACGACACGAGCGACCATGCAAAGTCCTCCATGCCGCCCCTGGAAAATGACCTCTATGCGCACCTGGGCAACGAGTTGAGTGGGAAACCCGATAGTTCGGAAGTGCACGAGGACGAGTACTCGACGCCCACGCGTCTGCTGGCTCAGACCCAGTCCGCCATGTCCGTGTCTGCCCTAATGTCGGACTCAGCCGAACAGAGCAACAGATCGGTGGCCGTGGACTCGCCGGATCAAATGACCTACTCGATGCCGTCCATCGTCAGACGCAAGAAGAAGGAGAGCGCCAGCCCGGAGGTTCTCTCCCAGAAGCCAAGCAGTCTGGCTGCCAGTCCTGCAGCCGCTGCATTTGTTGTTGGTGACGATGTCACCGGAAGAGACGTGTACGCACAAGTAAACTCCTTCCCGAGAGTCGGCACTATGCAGCAGAAATCCAACCTCAAAGGGAAGTGATTTCTGCCATGCCGCTACGCTGCAACATAGGTTTGTCAAGACCCTCGGTCCTCGTCGCTGCACCGTTTCCCTTTCATATCGCTTCTACTCTCAGTGGCACCTGTCCGTCTATATAGTACAAGTTCCGCCACGTTAACACGGGCATTAACAATGACATTAACATTGACACTGGCATTGACATTAACATTGGCATTGACATTAACATTAACATTGGCATTGACATTAACATTGGCATTGACATTAACATGGACACGGCATTAGCAGCTTTTAGACTACGCGACAGCTACTTGTTTCAAACATGTGAATTTGACGGCTGCTGGTTTTTTTACTAGAAAATATCTTTCAAATATCTTTCTATAAATCAAGCAGCATAATTATGCAGAAAAGCCTCGGCTTACTCAGTTAGTTTCTATAAACCTGATTGCTTCACTTTACGTATTGGCCTGCCGCATCAAGCTACATGTATTGTCTGTACCTTGGCAGCCACGATTGCAGATTTGGCCCCGGGCACTGCTTCTACTGTTTCTGGTCTCGCTCTCAACTAGGTTCTATGAGAGAGCTTGCTGGCGACGAACAGAACGCTAGCAGGTTCATTTTTTTTGCCTGGCCTCCGCATACTTGTCACGCGCGCGCGCGCGCACACACACATACACATACATACATACACACCAATAAACTCGGTATGGACGCACTTGACGTTCACTTGACCCGGCAACACATGCAGTTGCGGACGCTCTTGACTTGATATATTATTTATACACTTTTGTGTTTGATACGCTTTCTCTCCCATACCTTTCCATATTTCCTTTGGAAACTTTGAAATCAATGATCATGTCCCGTTTGCTTTTCAACCTTGCCAACCTATTCCGGTTTTGTTTTCAACTAACTTGAAGTTGACACAGTCGAAAGCAACCTGTGAACTGAGCAGCAAGCCAGTCATTGCAACAGAGCTGATGTCTGTGCTCTGGATCGTCAGAGAACGCCGTGCTGGGCTCTTGGCAGGGCTCGCACGGTTCTGCGACACTCTCCCCACTACAGCGTAAGCCACCTCACCTCAAAGGGAAGGTGCACATTGATCATAATGCATGCCAAGACACAGTTATGCCATAGTCTTTGACATGCATGGCTGTGACTAAATTTGTACGGAAAGTGATTTATGAATAATGTGTGTGATACTGGTAGCTAGTGGAACCAACATGACCAGCATCATGTGACCCATAACCACACACACGCACAACCACAGATTCGAAAAGCGCTGTGAACATTGGCTAGCACCGGACGCTACTATCCGTAGCACCTTTCACATAGGCTACGGGGATAAAGAAAGGTTGGTTGTGCACAGCATACCATACCAGTGTAAACAACGTCACCAGAAAATGAGAAAGAGCGAACTATCTCTCAACTAAACAGATGATAGGACGGTACCGGTAGGGGTCTGACAGGCAGTAACACGTTGAGAGAAAGAAGGGGGATATCAAAGCCAGACATAATATGGATCTGGTAGAGCAACAACACAAGTCAACAGAGAGAGAGAGGAGAGAGAGAGGAGAGAGGAGAGAGGAGAGAGAGAGAGAGAGAGAGAGACAGAGAGAGAGAGAGAGAGAGACAGAGAGAGAGAGAGAGAGAGAGAGAGAGAGAGAGAGAGAGAGAGAGAGAGAGAGAGAGAGAGAGAGAGAGAGAGGGAGAGAGAGAGAAAGAGACAGAGAGAGACAGAGAGACAGACAGAGAGACAGAGACAGACAGAGAAGAGAGAGAGAGAGAGAGAGAGAGAGAGAGAGAGAGAGAGAGAGAGAGAGAGAGAGAGAGAGAGAGAGAGAGAGAGAGAGAGAGAGAGAGAGAGAGAGAGAGAAAGGGGTTTAGGTTTATGCTCAGTTGCCTCATGTCAGCGGCGACTGGCGTGAATGACATGACGATGCATACTGTACATGTACTACTAGTAGATGGAAGGTCAGAGACAGGTGACATACATGTAGACCACAGTGTAGATCCACCTGGGGCGAATTCAGGACACAAACAGGATGTCTTGGGCATGGGCCAGCTTTCGTGAAGGGACAGGCACGGTTACCCCACAACGACATGTGAACACACACACACACGGGACATTGCCTGTCAAACGTGGTGGCGATGGCAGGGTCTGCAATAAGCAGACACTGCAAATTGGGACGCATCGTCGCGGTGGCACGCAACTCCAGTCTTGCTGGATTCCCAGTGGTCAAGGTGTGGATGCCATGGCGTCTGCGTTGAAACTGTCTTGTGTCACAGAGTACGAATAAACGCCATCAAACGAGACAACATACACAGATGCACGTAAACACACAGTCGGCCATGTGCTAGCACTGTGTCTGTGCGTATGTGTGGGCGTGCACACACAGGCGACAGTAGAGATAAACCAGCGCGGGCGATGCTGGTCGCAACGGGGACGTGTCTGAACGAGAAAAAACCCCGACCGACAGTGATTCAGATTGTAACAACACGAGTGCACGGTGGACACCGGATGACCTCACAGTAACATAATCAGCAAAGATGGGCCACCGGTGGTCTTACAACTATGCCATCACGATGCTGGACAAGGAACTGTTTGGACCAAAGCATCAACGCACTGTGACCAGGCAGACGTTATTTTTCTCTTAGTTGTGTACTGTAGCAGGTTGATGCTGCTCAATTCAACACAATCCATGTACTCGCATGGGCAGCTGGGCAGAGAGCTCACGCTGCACTGAGTTTGTCATCATGTCACACACTGTCTGTAAGCTTGTTGATGTTGACGGCGATGTGATACGCCAGTGCGGCGGCCATCCGCGGCTCCAGGCTGTTTTCCAGCGCCACCTGACGGGCCAGAGATTGAGCCGTGTCAGCCTTGCGAACTGTCAACGACTTCCAGTCATCAGGCGCTACCTCCACGTCCATCTACAACAACACACACACACACACACACACACACACACACACACACACACACACACACACACACACATACATACACAAATAGCAACAACAAGAGCACACAATGAGCAAAGGCTGAGAGAGCGTCTCAGAGAGCGAGAGAGAAAGACACAGGCAGATAGACCGACAGGCAGATAGACAGACAGACAGACAGAGAAAGCAAAAGCGAGAGAGCGATAGAGAGTGACACACATACACATACACACACACACACACACACACACCTGTCCTGTTGAGCCACTGCCATGAAGGTTACGTGGGCCCCGGAGGGGCAGCTGAGAGATAGGAGGAGCACACAGCCCTGTGACGATCCAGGTGATGCGGTAAGCGAAATCGGCGGGAGCAGGCGCAAACACACGTGAAACCCTGACGGTCTTGAACGGTCGGACGACTACAAGTCCGCGAGCAGCGATGACGGGCGCGGCCACGTGTAGACGCAAAGCAGCGGTCACAAGCCTGGCCGTGAGCGACGCAGCACAGCGGAGAAGCAGGCAGCGGCAGGGGCGCACCGACTGCTGACTGGGGGTAAGTACACTAGTGCCTTGCCAGACCTCCACGGGACTTCAGCCAACGGCCACACTCTCCATACTGGCATGCACCTTTCTGCTCCGCAACCGGCTTCGCACGCTCAGCCTTACACTTGTGGCGTGCGCGATCACTGGGGCGTGTAAACTGTCGGTCGCAGGTGTAGCAGGTGACGGGAGGGGTATGCTGGGCATCTACCGGTGCTGAGTACGCCGAGCGCCAGGTGGAACGCGACTCGCATTCAGCTCGCCATTCCCCCTCGAGGCCGCGAGAACGAAGGTCAGACATGACACACACACACACACACATACACACACACACACACATACACACACACACACACACATACACACACACACACACACAGAACAGAAGATCAGCACCGTTACAGCTGCATTGAAAGTAGGTTACCTGCAGTAAAACGGGTGAATCCTTTGTGCGGTGATCACCACCAGAAGTTGCACTGGCTGCAGCAGGTGTACCGGTCTCATCAGTGTCAGGTGCAGTGCGACGACGCTTTGGTGTGTACCTGATAGAGAAGTACAATGTACATAGTCAGCACACAGATCAGAGTGAATGCATACACGTGCATGCAACAGACATACATACGGAACAGTTCCTTGTGGCACACAGAGAGAGAGAGAGAGAGAGAGAGAGAGAGAGAGAGAGAGAGAGAGAGAGAGAGAGAGAGAGAGAGAGAGAGAGAGAGAGAGAAAGAGAGAGAGAGAGAGAGAGAGAGAGAGAGAGAGAGAGAGAGAGGGGGGGGGGAGTGTGTGTGTGTGTATGTGTGTGTGTGTGTGTATGTGTGCGTACACACACACACACACACACACACACACACACACACACACACACACACACACCGTGCTTACATTGCGAGTGTGCGTAATAAAATTTCCATCTCCCATGGATACCCCAAGAATTATCACAAAATTTCAACAACAACAAAATAGTACAGTACTATAATTGTAGTATCCAACAACAGCAGTACAAGTCAGCTATCAAAATGACAAAAAAAATATATCGAAACTTACAATTGTCTTTCTGGTCGTTTCGCAACTGCACCCCCAGACTTTGGATTCGTCTTGAAGCTGCGACCAAATCGTATCGCCATCTTCATGGCCTCCTCATCTCGATCGCAGAGCACTCGAGCCTGCTGATTCTTTTGAATGGTGCGCACAAATCCATGCTTCATGTCGACGCGAGGCGCCTTGCGCTCCTCCTCGTCATCTTCAGCTGCTGGCGAGCTGACGATCGTCTCTTCGTTATCATCGTCGATAATTACAGGTTCGCTCATGTCTGCATCGACCCCAAAGCACCTTGGATCTCCTATGTCTTGCACAAACTCAAGCACTTTTCTCGGACGCTTTGAAAGTGTTTGGGGAAACAAGTGAAATCAAACAAATCGACCGTACATTGAGGACGAGGCCTCCTTGGCGTCAATGTCCCCATAGTTACTGCATGCAACACTCACAGACATGCGCTCAGTTCAGTCTTTTTTTCAGTACATGCGCAGTATGGAGTCATTACAATACTACTCCCTTGTTGCTCTTTCACGTACACTGTACTATCTGTAGATCTACGCCACCATGGTCACATGGGCCATGGCACGCTTTTCAAGGGCAGGTACAGTGAATACCCCCCCCCCCCGGCCCCCCCGGTATACTATTTTTTTTTTTTTTTTTTTTTTTTCACGCGTACGCGTACACATGGTACACGCAGTCAGGTTTTGTTTTTTCCGAGTTGGCACCTATGAATTCAGGGGATGGCCCACGCCTGGTAAAAAGAAAAAAGAAAGAAAAAAAAAGAATGTCTGGCACCTATGAATTCAGGGGATGGCCCACGCCTGGTAAAAAGAAAAAGAAAAAGAAAAAAAGAAATCATATTAACAAAGAAAACTAAAGAAAAAAGAATGTTTGGCACCTATGAATTCAGGGGATGGCCCACGCCTGGTAAAAAAGAAAAAGAAAAAAAGAAATCATAACAAAGAAAACTAACTAATAGCGAAAACAATACAGCCATATAACAAGAGGTGAGGGTTAACCCAGACGACACTCAGCATTCACTAGAGCTGAGGGGCACTCCAGCTGCTGATCCAAAGGTGCTCGCCTGGATCGATGACCTCTTAAGCTTGCAATCGCCGATCTGATGAGGGCAAACCCTAGGCGGCAACGAAGGTGAGCCATCACCATGGAGAACGGTTCCTTCCGCTTCTCAGCCAGCATTGATGCAATGCGCTTGAGGAAAGCAGAGGCAGCCTTGCCTTGACCACCGGAGGCACAAAACACCAAGGGGACGAACGATGCCTTCTCTACTTCCCTAACACGCTCTTCATAGTGTCGCCGTTTCTCCTTCTCGTGCTTAGTGAACGTGCTGTTGAGGGAGGGAGCGGTGTTCGATCGGACAAAAGGGTTAAATACCCGGACATCAAAGAATGTCCTCTCGAAACGGCCGCCCCACACCCCGCTGGCAGCAACATCTAGGCGGGCGCCATCCTCGCTGATTGCAGTACGATACCTCATCCGTTCCCCGGAAAGTGGCTGGAGAGACGGCTCCACACTTACGTCATGTGCGACGCGTGAAAGCAGTGAGGCGGTGATGTCTCGCAGCTCGTTATGCCGGAGTGACGGATACCCTCCAATAGGGCACGACAGGGCATGCGCGGTGCTGAATGCCTGACCACAGACGCAGGTGGACGGCAGCATTGGGGGGACCCAGCCATAGCGAACATGGATGGCGTCGCGAAAGCCAGCCTTGCTGAGGGAAAAGCCGTGGACTTTCAGTGGCCGGCACGTGAGCCAATTGGAGGCCCCCTTCAGCGAAGCAAGCTCCACACAACGCTGCAATTCCTGTGAAGCGGCTGAGACGACATCCTTGGCGATGGTTGACTCCTTATTCCGCTGTCGGCTGCGGACTTCGGACTTCCTGTGCAGCGTAAGCTGCGTGACGTCGGGCAGGTAGGACATGCCAGAGAGGATTCCCTCAACCAGCGTTTGGGTGATGTGGCAGGATGAGTGGAACTGTTCTGCTAACGAAGAGACGATGATTAGTCCCAGGCCACCCAAACGACATGGTAGAGCCAGGATCTTCCGTTCGGCAGAGCCTGGAGAGGGGCGACCGAGGAGGGCTGGGAGTAGCAGGTGTACAACCGCCTGCTCCAAGGGCTCCAGCAGGGTAGCCGTGTTGGGTACTGTCCTGGCAACAAATGCCCAGCGATGCCGTAGACCGTGCGTAAAGGTGGAATACGCTGCATGCGGCTGCCCCGGTATACTATTGACAGTCTTTTGTACGCACTGCACATAGTCATGTACGTGATGTAGGTGGTCATGAACCTGTGTCTGTGTCTCTTTATCTGTGAACTCTTCGTGCTGAGTTTGTCACGAGCACTAGATCTACATAGGGATAGGATTCCTAAACAAATTTTTACAAATAGTACTACAGTCCGTTTCAAAAAGATTTGCAATCCTGGCGATCGCCCGCGGAGTTTGGCGTCTTACCGTATGAGCACTCGAGCGCTGCCTGGAAAAACTCACTGTGAACTCGAAGAAATATTCCGCGCGAAAGCAGGAAAAATGACAACTCACTCACGTTGATACAGTCATGTACATGTACGTCTGTCGTCTGGTTTACAACAAACGAGTTCTTCTTCGTATCGATAATGGAGTCAGAGAGGACATGTCGAAACGAAAATGTTGTAAATGTTGACGAGCGGCATGGGTCCCAATTCGTCTTGTGACCAAAATAGTTTCTTTGAGCTGCGATGCAATTTACTCACCGTGTGACGAAAACGACATCGACACGGACTCATTCCCAAGGCCATGACTTGGCAAAGCTATCCGTGTGATTTCGACAACATTTTGAGGAAAGCAGACGCTTGTGAACGCTGATAGAAGACGGCGTTGACTGCTAAATTCAAATAAATTGGCGATCTTGAAGATCTTGAAATACTACAATAAATCTCAAAAAGCTACAGCGCGATGACTTCCATATTCACTCACACCATTGCAGTGTTGTGGGTGTGTTCACATGGCGTGAGCCAGTCAAGTGTCAGTCAGTTCGGCAGGAAGCGCGAGCTCCAACAACAACTACAAGTCGTTTGGTGCAGCCATCTTTTTTGTCTTGTACCAGCTTGATCACCAAAACAATGAAGAAAAAAAGTTTGACTTGAGGATAGGTTGGGATTTGAACTCACAACTTCATGGTCAGCAGACAGCATTCATAACCACAAGGCCAAAAAGGAAAGGATAAATCGTGAGTTTTGATAAAAAATCGATACTGGCTTCCTGGGCAAATTGTAAACCATGGGAAAAGGCCGGAAACCTGGCCGAAATTCTAACTCCTTAACGGCTGATCCAATTGTTCCGAAACCTTCACAGAACAATTTGCCGTGTCCTAACAAGCCATTCTATGTACTTTGTTGTCCAAATTTCCCTTATCTTCATACTTTTTAAGACCCAAACCTGATTGTAAATCTTTTTGAAACAGACTATAGACTCGTACTACTACTAGTACTAGTAGGTGCTGTGGCCATCATCGTGAAGGCCGAATGCCACAAACCCAACTACTCCGACTCATGAGCAGCTAGCTGCATTGATGATGGGTGCGTAACAGTGAGCAGTGAGCTCCGGCGTGGTGCCTTCCTAGTACTATCCTAGCACTGCACATAATCATTTGCCACTAGAGAGCCGGAGGCTTGATCATGGGGCTTCTCTTGACGTGTTCTCTCTGTCTGGAAGTCGAGGGTCGGTCACAGTTAGGCTTTTCCACATTATGTTTTGCATAATTTTTGCATCTTGGGGGTAAAACTGAATCCCCGTTGTAAAAGTGCATCTTTCGTGATTTTTGCCAAATTGTCTTCAAAAACAACAACGTTTGCGTGATTTTTGCCAGATTTTCTTCAAAAATAACAAATTTGGCGTGATTTTTGCCAGATTTTCTTCAAAAACAACAAGTTTTGCAAGTGTTAGCTAAAATTTACCCTACACTACAGGCATTTTCTTCTGCTGGCAAGACGACCTTGCCCCGCATCTGACGTAACCTGACTCTTGTCAGTCTCGAAATATGCCCGGCATGGCAGGCGGCAGTGCGTGATGATGTGCATGCATGCACGGGTACATGTCCTAGAATAGATCCTGTAGCCAACATGTACAGTAGGTATCGGTTATAGCGTGGGTGTTTGAAAAGCGACATTTGATTCTTATTGCCGATATTTCTTACACACGATAAATCACGTGTGACATTATCATATGCACGTGTGACATATCATACATATGTACAAGCGTTCATGGGGGTTATGAACTCTTGATATACATGTATGCGCGCACGTTTGGAATGTGGACACGTACACATGGTACACACGGATCAATCAGACTCGCTGCGGAGCAGCGGATAAGAGAGAAGTCGGAAGAAAGAGTCCGACTGGACAGAAAAGTGATTCTCCAATGCTCCCTTGGACATACATGTAACTCTCTTTTTGTGTTGAATATTATTGTACTGAGTATGCACAGAGCACAGATGTTATTACTACAGGCGATACACTTTGCACTAATCTGGCATATTTTGCTACACAAAATCCATTCTTAGGGCCGATATATTCTACTATGCGATAATACTGCTTATAAGAATAAATATACACATAAAATATGTGTTATGATTATGAAAAAATGAGTGTTCATTCTTGTAAGCAGTATATTCTTGTATACGACCACACTATAACCGATACGCACTGTACATGTACATGCTTCGAATCAGGGAGTCGTAAAATACCGGTATTTTACGACTCCCTGCTTCGAATGAATTTGGCAGCCATCTTGTTGCCATGGCAACGGGTGAATAATTTTCGCACATTGGGTGGTTTTTTGAATTTTTTTAGATTTTTTTCAAATCTATCAATTTTTGAGAATAACATCATTTCCCCAAAAAATCGAGTTTTACATCCACATCTTTCCAATATTTTTTCGAATAATGTGGAAAAGCCTAGTCACAGTGTAGGCCTTATGAGTTATGTCCGAAGTGCTGGCTCAATAGGCCTTGACGGATTATGCTAATATTTTCGTGAAATTATGCTTTTCGCATTGCTGAAAAAATTGCAGAATTATGCTATTTTTATGCTAAAAGTTATCATATTATGCCGCATTATGCTCACATATGCTGCTAATGTATATGATGGTTCTGTGCGAAATAACAGGGGATTTGTTTTATAGGGCATTGTACTGTAGTAGCAAAAGTTCACTGACGGGGTCAACGCACCGTCCGACCTACAATTGTAGCTACGACCATCACTGATTGTAATGGACTGAACATGTTATCAAGGGAGTCGTAATTTCGTAAACCTACGACTTCCTGGTGTATCTACTTGTACTTGTAGAACATGTACAACTCTATGGAATTTGGTGCGAACAGGCGGATTATTCCATTATTTATGCGATTCGTATGCGATTTGCCTTGACTATGCGATTATTCGATTTTGGTAGGAATTATGCGAAAAATTATGCTAGCATAATCCGTCAAGGCCTATGGCTCAAAAGTTCCTCTACACGTGACGTCATGACGTCATGTATGTTGTGGCACTGTGTTATGCTCGCTACCTCACGGAAGAAAACGACTTTGAAAAGAGGTGTTCAAC